TCAATTCTGAATGTGAATAAAGAATGAAGAGAACAAACTCGTAGATAATATGGGAAATATGTCATGATACCGAAATAACATAAATAACCAATTAAATTTCATTTTATTTACCTAGATTATAAGATATTAAAGTCTATAATTCTCAAAAGAAGTTCAAAATGAAAAGGAAATCAAAAGGACAACTGTGAACAAATCTTGGATCGAAGAAGTACTAAAAACATTAGAGAATTTCTAGAAGCTTGCCGTTCAGTTGGTTAATTAGCAATTAACAAACATATCGAAATCGACCTAATTTAGCAACGAATCAGAGAAATCATAGATAACCTTAAGACTCAGAACAAGAACAAAACGAGAGACAATAAAAATTAAGATACACAGAATGACAGATTAAGGGTTAACAACAACAACAACCAGTCAAGATCGAGATCGATAGAATAAGCTGTGAGTCATATGTAAAGAAATTCGAATACATCACTTTCACCAGAACTTTATACTGATGATATTTTCTAGAAGAACAATGAAAGCTCCACGATCAAACTATCTAGCTTTGAAAAGAACACTTTAGAATCAGTATACCCTATAAAATTAAATATACTTTGACTGAAGGTATTTGATTACAGATGTCTTTGAAACAACCAACAACTACAGAATAACAACACGAATCTATTTAGGTCACTCTCCGAAAATGTGTATTTTCTTCTTTGTTTATATAGTTAAATGAATTTCCTAAGTAAATAAATCTAACTATAAAACGCATTATAATTTACAAATATAGAAAAGAGTATTTCATATTACATTAAAAATCTTTACTTTATTTGTAGTTTCAACAAATAAAACTACTTAGAAACTGTTCTGGTTTATCAAACATTTCACAGCAGTATAATAATCAAAATAATTAAACAAGTAGCTAAAACACACTTGGTAAACAAAACATTGGTTCAATTTAAACTTTCAGAAAGAAACTTCAAAACGTGTGCACACACACACACACATGACAGAGATTACACATTGAACAGTAGAAATGTTAGAAAGTATTTAAAACGAAAGACGATGATATGGTGAGCTGTAATAACGAGTTTCTTCTCTCTTTCTTTTTCTCTCTCTCGCACACACATACACACACACTTGATTGAATCTGATGAGTTTAGCAAGAAAAAACAAAACTGACCAAAACCAATCACGGCATCTTTTAATATATTTTAGTTAAAATGGTTTTGTACATATTGATCTGAATTCTAGGTTGTATTCGTCACAGATAGATATCTTACTTAAAGTATCGGAGAAAATTAGAGGAAATAGGATAGCTATTTTGTTCTAGTATGATACTTAGTATCAAGTACCCACCAATTCATCAGGAACCGGAACTAAAATCTTCAACTATCGTGACAAGCACACAACCATTAGGAGTAAGGAGTTAATACCCAATAACACAATGTTGATTCCGATCAATTTGCGATATACCTCGACAATTGTTTAATACCACTAGAGATTGGTAGGGTTCAGGCAAGCCGAGGATGAAACAGTTTTTCCATCGGTCACATTAAATGATCATAGTGCCATTTTACTGATTTAATTGAAGTTGAAAATGTACCACTGAGTCCGAAGTCAGAGATTTTAAAGGGTAGGCGTTTGCTGCGAGAACTGAAAGTTCTGACTTCAATCCTGAGTGAAGTGGATGCGCATTGTTGGGGATCCTCACACTGAGAAGAAACTGTTGCCTAGTTCTTCCTCATTATCAATGCCAGGTAGATCAGTCAAACGTAACATAGAGCACGACACATGTATACATCGGTTCCAAATTAGCACACAGATGGCAAGTCACACAGTAATAATAGTGGTAACAGTATTAATTGTAATAGAAAAGACTGTACATTCAATACACAATTCGAGCTTTAGAAACTTAGGACCTAAAGGTAGGAAAGGATTTAATGCACCTGTACCATTGAGGACGGTTTCAAGCCGTCATTCAAAGTCTCTAACTACCGAACATGCAACCGTCACATTTGTTGATGTATGTTTCTTTATTAATACAACTTAAAACAACAAGTCACAATTTGTGTGAGTTTATGATATCATACAACCCTTCAAATCAAAGTGAGTTAGAGTCAACAACGTGATGGTTGAAAATCGAAAGTTATTACTATCAAACCACTGACTCATACAAGCACACACTATTGACTATCTAGCACTCTAAACTAAACCCTAAAATGAGATAGTCTATCCCATTGTATATAACTCTTTTGTAGCATAATAGGCTTAAGAATATCTACCGGAAAAGTGGTTTTTTAAAAATTTGTAAACATATACGTTTTAGAGAATTTCTTCAAGAAAATCGAAAATTATTCTGTAGATTTTAAAATGGCAACTGCAGAATAGCCCTGTTTGCCATACTTATTAACACTGAGGCAGGGAGAAAAGTTAACATACAGAAATAATCAGGCCATAAAAGTAGTAACCAAAAAGAATGTGAAAATAGGGCAACGAACATCGAAAATTCATCGTCTTTCATAAACGTTATATTTACAGTCACGGGTTTTATGTACCGCTGTTATGCATGTCTATTTTGAAAACTATTTTAATGTCTCAGTCAAATAATAGAACACTTACCAGAACCCAATCAATCACTAAATAAACTTGACTAATCCTCAGATTTCAGGTGAGATTGGGGATGTATTAGGATATATCTATTCCACAAGAAATGTACTACCTTGATCATGAGATGAGAAGAAACCAACAACATATTAGCCAGAATCACAGAAAACTTCAACTGCGTCTTAAGGTTAGAAAATACATTTAAATAGTTCTCAGGGATATAACGTCGGAACTTTTCAAATCAGTAAGGTACTATCACGCCCATGTAAAAATCAGATCCTATTAGATACCCTACAACTAGAAAAAACGCAGACAAAATGAAGATTATATGATGAAGTAGTGTGACTGAAAATATATGGATGGATTTATACACCCCGTATTTTTGAATCTGTAGAATCATAAACTACTTCTTGTCTATTTGTGATTATTAACAGAGCTAAGAATTTATTGCTGAATAATATTTTAGCAATCGATGTCTTAAAAAAGGTACTGCAGTAATATGATATAAGAGCGAAGGCTAAAAATAAATTGAGTACGCTTTTAGATTTTCAAGTAGTATGCTCGGAAATAATAGTGAGTGATGTAACAAGCGGCAGATGTCAATTGTTTCACACTATCTCCATGTAAAAATTCTATCACGATTTTGGTTTGTAAGCAGCTGACGAGAAACCTCGAAATAATATGAATTCATACTATTCTGCATCAATGTTTGTTCTTGCTCTATTTAAGATCTTAGTGAGTAGTAAAGTGTCTTTCTAAACTGATATTTTATTATATTTGTTAGGAGCCACATATCAACCAAAAGCACTTACTATAACTTTGGTACAATTAAAATGGACATGACCGAAAAATTTAAAGATTTAACTATAAGCACTTGACGTGTTGACTTTGAAAAATCCCACTTCATAATATTGCTTATCTAAAAGAAACATAATAATTTAGGTTTGTAACACTACTTAAAAATGGTGAAAGATTGCAAAATATTCATTGGAAAACTTCATAAACGCTTATATTAAGAAAAACGCAGCTACGACTATTTAGCCTTGATCACGGAACTAATGATAGTAAAGTATGGCCATATTAAAATTACAACATAACAGCCTGTCTATCTAAATGACTTTGTCGAGCTTAGTTCAACTCGAAGTGCGATTTTTGAGAAGAGACTGAAGACTGCTGAAAATTTAGTCCAAAACACTATGTTCGTATGTGACATATTATTATGTAGGTGGGACTTGAATGAGATTCTTAGTTTGAAAATTTACTATTCAGTTGATCAGCCAAAGTGTGGTTCCGAAACATGTTCAACTCTAGCCAACAACTGATGGCTTAGTAAAATTAAAATCAACAGTATATACAAAAACAGAATCGATTCCGGAGTATTAAAAACTAAAGTTGGTAGATGTGTTTTCTGCAAGTATCAACAACAACAACAGGAAAAACAACATACCGAGAATTCACTGGTAAAAGTGGGTTCGCTGGTACCAAAATAAAGTTCAATTATTTAAAGTATGACTACTATGAATAGTACAAACTATTTATATGGCCTTCACATTTTATAGCTAAGATGTAAATCTAAAAACAGAATTACTCAACTTGTCCAGTTTTCATATCTGTTATCACAGAGAAACAACACAAAACACTTCAGTTTATCTATCAAAACTAATACTGATTAGATATGCAGTGAGGGTTATGGAAACGCAATAATCTTCACAAGTGAGGACAGATGTCTTTGGTCAAATATTTGTTTGAAATATGGGAGGAATCAGTACACAACAATGAAGGAATGGATTTAAAGTAATGTCACAATAAATTTACTTAGGAAGAGAACAAGTCAGCACATATATTTTCACAAGTATTCAAATATATACTAAATTAAATCTTTTAAAAATAAGTAGTCTGTTACGGAGTAGTCTTAAAGCGTAACACTGGGATTAAACACACACAGAGAGGCAAGTTTGCGGATGTTACGAATCTGAAGTACTGAGGAAAATTAAGGTTCTTAAACGGCTACAAATTAGGCATTCACTCAATCAAATTAGTCCAATATCTGTTCATTAAATAGCATGCAAAAATAAAGCGAACTAAAAAGTGTGTATTTGTCAAAAAGCCCCTAAAACCTAGAAGTGAGGTAATCCCATGTTTTATTTTCATTGTTAGAGTTTGTATCCCAGATTGTGCAGGTATGTTTTGAATCTTCCTTAGACTACTACTGAGAGTTTTAAACAGATAAATGGGGAATGACTGGAAGTCAGGAAGTTTACAGTAATCTAATTTGAAAATACATCTGCAATTAAATAATGTGCACTATTTCGCTGATAAATGAACACTCTATTGATGAATATAAGGATAGATATTAGTTAAATAATCACTAGGTAACTAGATTAATCTCAACACATTAAAATAATTACCTTGCAGGCCTCGCAAACGTATGCCCGATGGTGGAATCCGACAGCTGGCTGACCACAAATCTGGCAGGCTTGGTCTTCAGACCGGGTTTGATACTGTACAAAGGCATGTTCAGGAGTGAGAATAGATCCATCGTCATCAGGTAGATAAACTCCTTGACATAAATGTGTTTTACAAGCAGTGGATGACGTCGGAAGAGAGTTATTGTTGTGGTGAGAGTCAGAGCACGTTTTGTCAAAGGTTTTAGAAGTCACATTCTCAAGTTTACCGTTAGTTGAATCAGGGGGAACGTTGACGGTTATGTCCATTTATGGTTCAAATAAATTTACACATAAGTGCGACAAAATACACACTGTATAAATATTAATAAAGGGTGCAGAGAAATTTATATGACGTATAAAACTCTGGAAATAAAGTTTTCAAGCCAGATATTAATGCATGTGATAAATATTAGCAACAATTGTATGTAATTATTACTCCTTCTATTAGTTTTAAAAAAATAAGCGAATTCTTTAGGTAGGTATAACACAGGGAAATTGAAGTAACATCATTTCCTGGAGATTTTATGTCCAGTAATCTGAGTGAAGCGAAAAGTTGAGGAGGACCTTGAAGAGACCTTGGAAAAAGATGTACTCGCGAAATTTAAAACAGGCGCTTTTGAAGGTACACATCTAATAGCACGAACGAACTTGCGAGGTATTGAAGTCATTAAAACTCTATTTCACTTTAAAACTTGTGCAAATTTTCTATGAATTACACTGTCAATGATAACTGAAATGTCATTTTCCAACATCATTGTAATTTTTGATATTTGATATGAGTGCATCAAATAGTTTTGGATAAAAACAATGAAGTTCACGTTTGACAAACACCATACTCAATGACAGTAGATCACTCAACCCCCTAGGCAAAGATTCCGGTTAATGAGACTTGGTGAAATATATTGGTGAACCTGTATTAATCTTAACAGTTTGATTTTCAGCGAAACTGCTGCTTCCCTTTGAAAGGATTCACTGGTATAGCTGAAACTGCGTGTTTGGGTAATACGTTTCAGTCGCTGACTACAAGATTTCACCCTGTCTTTATTAGATTTCGGTTTTCGAACAGTTGCTCTAGGTTTGAAGATTACTAGTGATGGAAGTAGCAAAACGTTACGACATATCAATACCCAAATAGTAATTAAGAGTACAGAATGACGAATGTAAGGATCGTTCCTTTCTGCAACATAATAAGAGGAAATACTTTAAGAGTTTTAAGCGCTCATCGTAATGAGGTTTGGAAATACCATCCAATAATTTTGTTTACCCACATTGTACATGCTCACGTGAGTTAATATCCTTAATAAGATATAGGTCAATGAATTCAATACAGTACTTTCACTTTTAGTTTCAGTTTGGGAAGGACAGGAGGCCTGATGGCCTATGTTAGTCCTGGCAATGGTGGTCTCTCAGTTGATCCAGCTTCCTTTTGAATGAGTCAACGGATGAAGCCTCAACCATGTGCTGAGGTAGTGAATTCCACTCGTTAATGATTCGATGGGAAAGTCGATAGTCAGCTGATAACTAATTTGTTCTTGGCTTGTGAACTTTTTTTGAGTGTCCTCGTAAATTCTCTGTTTTGGAAGACAAGAAAAATGAGGGCATGTTAGGTGCAAATTTAGCACCAAGCAATTTGAAAACTGTAATCAAATCGCCTCTAGTTTGCGATATGACAACGGGAAAAGGTTCAGCTTGGCCAGTCGAGATTCATACGGAAGCTTCGCTATTCCGGGAACCAGCTTAGTCGCCGTTCTCTGAACCTTTTCCAGAAGCTCACTGTCTTTTTTAAAGCAGGGGCTAGCCGCTTGTATGCAGTAATCAAGTTTAGGACGAACGAACACTGTATACAAAGTCAAAAACGTCTTAGCGTCGACATGACTAAAAGCCGTACGTATTGACCATAACGTTCTAAAACTTTTGGCGGCTATTGCACGGCAGTGTGCAGTAGTCTTTAAGTCTTGACTAACGATAACTCCTAAGTCATTATATGTCTGGACGACAGGTAGCTCAGTGTTATTCATCGTGTATGTATCTGTGCCTTGATGACCGATATGCATCACAACACACTTGGAAGTATTTATCGGCAACTGCCATGTTTGAGACCATTCAGATAACTTCTTCAGGTCATTTTGAAGTTCTAAGCTATCACTCTTACATCGTATCGTTCTCCATATCTTGACATCGTCAGCATATAGCAAGACCGATGATGATAGGAGACAAGGAAGGTCATTTACATACAAGAGGAATAGCACTGGCCCCAAAACTGTACCCTGGGGCACTCCACTAAGCACAGTTTTCCAGCTAGATAACTTTGAGTTCAACCGAACTCTTTGTTGACGCCCAACTGAGAAGTCTTTTATCCACATCAATAAATTGCCTCCAATCCCGACATTTCTTAACTTATATAACAGCCGGTTGTGTGGAACTTTGTGAAAAGCTTTACTGAAATCAATGAAGGCTACGTCTACAGGTAGCTTTTGGTCCTTAAGATCGCATCAGCTTTCACGAGCCACTAGTAAGTTCGTGAGACAAGAATAACCTATTCTGAAACTGTGCTGCTTCTCCGAAAGGATCCGATTTTTATCGAGATACTTAAACAGCTCCTTCCGAATAATCTTTTCTAAGATTTTAACAACCACACCAGTTAGGCTAACGGGGCGGTAATTCTCAGGCTTGTGTTTCGTACCTGTTTTGAAGACAGGATCTGTATGCGCTGACGGAAAGTGCGCTTCTATGGTATATACGTTGCTAAAGTAGTTCGAGAACATTTGAACCTTACCTAAGTCGTCCTCCACTAATGATTCCCATAGAGCAGGAATATTTCCTTTTCTCCTTGTTCTTTGGTTTGTATAGGAATACAAGCTTTAGGACATTCTATGGATTCCTTAACAAGTTTTCCTTCGTACAATTTTCTAGACTTACGGAGGGTCGAGGCACAAGTATTCCGAGCCTTTCGATACTGAGATTTTGACTTATCAGTCCCCAGTAACCTAAATCCATCCCACATTTTCCTTTTCTCAAGGAGAAGGATACGGACCTCCCTACTGAACCATGGTGGTGAGTTTTTCGGCTCCTTTGGTATAGTCCAAGGGATGTGAGGTGTGGTAACTTGGAAGTGAAAATGATCAGAAGTACTTCTTATTGTTTTCCAGATTTTTACATCACTCGCGAACAATAATGTCAACGTTTTAGGCAGTCGCGGCAATTCATTGATGCGTAGTAGGAAAAGTAATGGAACTGGGTTGGTGTCTTGGGGTATGCCACTTGTTACCGGCTTCCACTCAAATAATGTTTCATTTACCTTCAATTTGTCTTTGGCCACACAAAAACTTTCTTTAACATACGTATACAGCACCTGTTACTCCGAATCCCTGGAGCCTCTGCATACGACAGTGATAAACCATGTCAAATGCTCTACTTAAGTCTATAAAAGTCTCATTGGCAGACAAAACGTTAACCAGAAGTGCTCTCCGACTCACTCTCGCCATAAGTAAGGTGATTATGCATAAATGCTGGTTTCGACACACGTGCTGTTCTGCAGCTAACAGCGTGTTTGATTATTTGTAACTTAAATAACTAAACCGAAACGTACTTTAAAGTAAAGAAAGTAATAATCTATTTACAAGGGCGGGTCGGCAGTTAAGCACGTTCTGTTCCTGACGATCTTTAAATATGGAACTAACCATACCATTTTTACAATCCCTAGGATATTGAGTATGGGAAAGGGGCATGTTAGAGAGCGTTATGGGTGACTTTTAAATAATGTTTGCGAGAGATGACAACAATCGTGGATATCACCCATCAGGACACATTGTCTTACTGGGTCTGGGATTAATGATAAATTGAAAAGCAATCTCCTCATTCATATCTACAGGTCTTAAAGTTGGTATTTTAGTGGTGTGCATATGACAAGTATTGTTAACGCTACTGCAGATCAGGCTTCGCTGAAATAGTTTGATAAGGTCTCAGCTTTCACCTGATCGTATTCAGCTAGTATATCTAAAATGTTTTGCAGTAGTAATGAAGAAATACCATCAATACGCTTTGTTCTTCGATTAATGTACGAGAACAATTGTTTTGGGCAGGTATGGCTATCATATGCCAACTGTCTTTCATAAGCCGTGCGAAATCTGGCTATAGTCTTTTTACATATATTTCAGACTTTTTGGGATTAACATTAAAATGATTCGTGGCCCGCTGACAAGAACATGTCACAGAAGTTTTTCTACGCCTCGGTATTTTTTGGGTATCCTTGTCGACTTATGAAGAGCAATGTGGTTGTCTACGTGTTAACCATGTGATGTACGGTGATGTTACAGACCTGAATGTGGCTTTAAACATATCCCATTCGTTTCTGATCAATCCATGTGCATAAATCGCCTGGTCTGTTGAAATAGCATAGTTTTTGACTGCCGGAAGTGGGATCACGGGATATTAGTACGACTGGAGCAGATACACACAGTGGTGTGTAAAGACTAGGTACAGCAATGACGGTCCATGTTCCTGGTCAATATATGTAGGATTGCAATACGTTGTACAAGTGCACATTAAATAAGGGTTGATAGCAGGCCTCTATCGAGACATCCACCTGAAGTTGTAAGCTTTATCTAGTCAATATTCGGCGTGTTCAAATCTCCATAATGAGAAAAAATTCGGCCATACTCCAAGAGCAAATATAACTTAAGATAAAGTCCTCAGAAAAACAACGTAGACACCGGTCTACTCCGCATTCGGTCATGAACTCGTGTTTAGACTTAATTGTACAACATAGCTACTTCATGAGCCTCCGACATGACCGATTTTTACACGAAATTAACCTCTAACATATAGATCTATACCTTCTCCCTTGCGATTTCTAAGTGTCATTCATAGTACGGACGTGTCTTGTAATGATGAGGGAACAGTCTATACCTATGGTGAGCCACGTTCCTGTGACAACAATTATGTCGGGACGTGAGTCATCCACCAAATAAATATGGCTTTCATCAATTAGGCACTTGTACCTCTGTTTCTTCCTATTTATTGAAGTATGTTTTGAGTCAGAGTTCTCTAGAATTCACTAATCGTTTCATGTTTAGGAATCACAAAGTTTTCCTCATTGTTCAGATTTTTGGTGTCCCTTAAACACCTATGTTACACTGGATCTAGGATTATGTGATTGTGATTGTCACAGGATGAGAATTTTTGCTTTCTCGGTAACTGTCTTCGGGGTCGTGACTGTAGATCTAATATCTGAATCATTTAATAGGTTTCTGAGTTTCCATGATTTGCCGTTTTTAATTTTTCGGTACATGTAGCCCAGTTAAAGTGGATCAAGCGGTTATCAACACAATGCTCTGCATGAAGTGCTTGCCATAAATGCAGTAGTTTGTCCGTTAAATCTGACTCTCTCGATAGGACTTCATTAGTGTGTTCCAACACGTTTCGAGTGACGTTTAGTTTAAACACCTTTATTCCACTAAAAATGGTTGTTTATCGAATGTCAGTACTGCTGGCATATCTTTGAAAATGTTCCGCACCGAGATATTACGTGCGTGCAAGTGGATCATAATGATGACCATGATATTGATGTCATTGGTACAGTTATCCAAAATTGTAAACAGTAG